CAACTTTGGCGGCTAGGCTGTATCCATGCATTCAGTGGAAAGGGGAAGCTGCACAGGGCATGAGCACAGATGCACAACTTGGAAGACGCATGGTACATATAGTCATTTAGTTACGAACATGCTAAGTTTACAGTCTGTGTGCAAGCTAAAATGCATATATGGGAACGATCTGGTCTTAAAACGTTACCTATACACAACTAATTTGCAATGCTATCAAAAACACCCTATAAACACTTGAGCACGCACCTTATGCACCTTAAGAGCGTCCGACTTAAGGAAAGAAGTCGAATCTTGAGGTGTTGTCTTTCTTCCCAAGCTGGATGAGTCACCTAGAAACCGCTATTATAGTCGCCAGCCTGGCCAAACACTTTTATGATAATATACTAAACCAAACCAAAGTGTAGTATATATATCAACATGCTGAAGATCATACATCCGTTTGCGCAACGGACCTTTCCATATCGCATAACAAAACCTGCGTCATTCACGCACAAAGGACGCAATCTACCATAATAACTGCAATAAAAGATCAGCTGGAACAGTCTACAGATTTAGTTCATGTACAAAAGACTTGTTGTACCATGGTCACTGTAATAAAAGATAAATGCCCGGGTAGTTATCATGTTTCCTATGTTAGCATCACACCAGGGTTGTTCAGGTGTTCCACACCGGCACGCTAACATAGTGATACACATGGCTATAGCTGGGATAAGTGGTCATTAACTGTTCATAATCGACAGTTCGGCTTGTTTTTGAGTATAGGTAAGTGGAATTGGGGCTTAGTTCAAACGCCTTTTGGCCGTGAAGCGAAGCTAACTCAATGGAAATACTGTGTCAAGTACCTTACTAATGAGTACTTTCGGCATCATTGATAGTTTGTGACAAGTTTGAAGTTCATTGAGGCAGTCTGGAACTGATGTTTCCCTTTGTTCTCCTAAGTATTGTATAGCCATCGCACGTGTTCAGACAGCCGACGAAGACGATTTCATAACTACGTGAGCTAAGTCTGAAGATAATTTAATACAAGATCATAATAGGCCAAAAAGCAGTTACTCAAGCAACTGGATGTGATTTTTCAAAATCATATCCAGTTGCTTGAGTAACTGTTTTCGGCGTATCGTATTACCTGGATGTCTAACCTTCGCCGACGCAAAATCACAATACATTGTTATTGGATACCTGAGCCTTTTTTCAGATCCCTTGATAATATGTATCAGTTTATGACTATCAGTCTTGGTAGCGATTCAGATCAAGTTTTCCTTCACATAACCGCATATAATGGAATAGCACTTTTCCCATTGGTTTTGAATACATATCTTTAAACCACCATGAAACTTGGATGGCATTTCCTTCTCTTCCATGAATGCAAGTTTACGTCTACTATGCAGAATCCAAACAGCAAATACACCTGCAATTGCAACCGCAATACTTTCCTAAATGGCTGCCAGGTTTTTAGTTTCAATACCAACCATCACACCAGACGACCAGTTTGTTTGGTCATGTTTTTTCGTTACTAATTACCTAATAAGCTTCCGAGTGCCATTGTATGTACCAACTTAAGTCCAGAGGGCTATTTCTGTCACATTACTGATAAAATAGGAAATATTGACATAGAAGTAGCTGTGTCACTGTAACGACGATTCAAATAGTTACACTTACAGATAAGGGAACAAAGAAACATGATACTAGGTGCGATTCAAGCAAGAATCATTCTAATTGATGTGAAGGCATGTGGGCGTTTGCAACCTCCTCCAAAATGCGGTCATCCCAGATTTTTTATCAAAGAGTAGACGCCAACGATCTTTTTCATTAGTCATGAGTGCCTCATATCCTGGTAAAGCTGACTCAGGCGAATAATTCCTGATCTATGAATAGTATCTAAAACAGGACAAGGTTGAGTACGTACAATAATGGGAATTTTAAAGTAGATGTATCATATCTCCCACCAAGAATCAGTGCCTTATGTTGACTCAAAAAACAACGAAACAGGAACCGATGAAACCCTTTATGAATCACCTTAGCTCGTTCCACTGCAGAGCCAATGAAGACGTGTTACTCCATCGAAAACATGTCTCCTATACATCCTCCATTTTCATGAATTTTGAATGAATGATCTTTATGGCTTGACAGTTGTACAGGGTACAACTGTTGTATGGCAATAACAATAACAAAGTGGTCATTATAATGATACCAGTCTATTCTTAGAAACTATGAAACTACATATGAACGTAAAAAGATGACCATTACTTTCACAGTACTTATCTAAAAAAACATGGTCTTCAACGTGAGTCATGACTCACGACCACCCGAAACTAACAACCATAACAGGCCGAGGACTTCCCACCAGATCCGATGACCACTTCAGCGGCAATCGCAGCGAATACACCCGGACTAGTTGTAGTTCTAGTGCCACTCGTCTGGCTATCTGTCACTCGCTACCGGTGCCTCATGTAAGGGCCACAGCAACTATGTTTTATGGATGACATTAATCTACGCCTGATTTTGAAAAAAAGAGAAATTCTGTTGCCCTCTGACTGTGGTCAACATGCCAAAAATTGGCAAAAATGTGGGTAGCAGATAAATATGGAGAGAGGAGACAAGACAAGGCTCTGATTTATTGTTTTGTCTTTTACCTATATTTTGTTTCAGTGTTGTATTTTATTCCTTTATATGTGATGCTGCCGCTGAATAAAAAAATCTTGTATAACAAGGTTTATGATCTCAAAATTTGAAAATATAGAAATATATTTGTTTCGCGCTATCGCATCAGATTTGGTGTCTGCAGAGGATGTCATCCATCAAATTCACTTGCTGTGGCCTTATGATGGATGTGCTTGTGCGCCACTAGTGAGTGATTCATTAAAACTCCATTGTAACATGTGTCTAACTGGTGGTACGTTTGATAAGTAGGTGAAGTCATACGATACTGAAAGGTCCGGTGCGCAAACGGATCTCGCCAGATGTTGCACTTTCTTTCTCGTCTGGACGAAAACACTTTCACGGGATTATCACCAACCATGTGGGGGATTTGGAAGATGTTTTTCGTTTCTGTGATCCTAAGTGTCATCAGCTTCGTAGGTGAGTGAGTCTCAGTTTATAATTTCATCGGTGTCTTGTTTGAATTCTTGAGTGATTTGTTAAAAGTCGAGTTTTTGCTGATTTGAAGTACGCAAACTGCAAGAAAAAATGTCTTCACTATGATAATGTTACATTATGTACATATGATGGGTTAGGTTTGTTACACTTGCTTCACAATTTAGCTGAAGTTCTGAGTTTAGGAGTTGTAAGCAGTGACGAAATGAAAAGTGTTTAACGCTTGTTCGTTATCAACATATCCCGGCCAGCTTATCAAGTAGAAATCGCAAGTAGAAAAGATTGTGATATAGCGAAGCTCAGTTAATTAGATGACTTAGGAAGTTCAAAAAGCACTTTTAAAAACAGTCCAAAACTCGTTTCTGTACATTTGGACGACGCTTTTGGCGACTTACAACCGTAAAAGCTGCTCAAACTACCGGAGTGATAGAATTTAGAATGGAAATCTTTCACCAAAAGACTCCAATGCTGTAGCAAAGTTTGAGAAGACCGCCTAAATTCAAGCCATTGCAATGCCTTCTGAAAAACATCTTATTATTTGCTATTGATGCTTGGCGAAAATGCCTACAGTTCAAAGTGGACATTACCCAGTAGACGAAATGCAATCAAGTAAAACATGATGCGTCAGTTTGTACATATCCTGTTGAATAGAAAGTGAAAGGAATTTGACCGAAGTTATTATTTTTTTGTTTCTCCTGTCTCCCCTGAGTGGCAAGTGAACTATATCAAAAACAACGAAGCCTCGGAAGATATCCAAAAGTACATTTAAAAAAACGTAATAATACTAGTAGTTTATTTTCCATCCTATAATCCAGATTACAAAAGCTTCACCGAACCGGCCTTCGTCGTGCGATAGGATTACGACAGAGAATCGAGAACATTTGTGTCGCTACGTACAAAATTCTGCTGTTTTGGAGCGACAAAAGTTGTATATATCCTTATAGACAGTTTCTACAATTCTACAATTCTACGTTTCCACAATTCGTTGAAAATCATACTCCCGAAAAGAAAATGTACAACGGAAATGACCGCACCCTTACTAGCCTACATGTAGCTGAGCGGAACCGTCGCTCCCGGATGCTGTCGGTCATGATGAAGCGGTTCTGCTATCTTGAGTTGCAATCGCGGTTAAGTGAGCTTTCAGAAATGTCCATTTCAGACTGGTCTATTCAGAAACATTACAATGAACTTTACGCACTCTTGGGTTTCTGGTGTGAGGTTCCAACCGAACTATGTAAAAATAGTTTTCTCAGAAATTCTGTACAGTTCTTAACCAAGTTAAAGTTTCGAAACAAAACCCATAACGGCATTATTTAGTTCGTTTTGTAGTTATGTTTATTTTAGATTTGATTACCTTTAGATACTGGAAACAATAGTTGACCAAAAAAGTTAGTTTTCTAATCTATCCTTCAGAGCAATAAAGTTGAAAATTCATTGTTTGTAACCATATCCAGCCAAGTACACTATGTCGAATTTGTATCTTCTGTAGTGACATGTGGGTACATTACAGAATATACCTTTTTACTTTTTCACTTTATTTTCGCCGGCTTGTTTCGTGGCTTTCTTGCAAAATGCCGCACTACATTACAACATTAACTCCCTATTCCTGCCTGTACAGACGCCCAGAGAGTTGACGTGACGCTAGTGAACCAGTTCCCGTTCGTGGCTGACTCTGACACGTTCCTGAAATGCGTCAGCGACGAGGCCAGCTCCATCCGGGACATCAGGTTCAACGTCATCGCTGACGTAGGCAACGGCGCCAACTACCCCAACCAAGTCAGGTCAGACTTTGAAATTTAGTTTTGTTTTCAAATTCTCTTGACAAAACGAAAAAAAAAACAGTAAGGGGCCTAGATTTATGTCTCCTGCTCGCTACGCTCACTCGGTGGTTTGTTCTTCTTCCCACAGTGCGGGTAACATCGACCCCGAGTCGTGGCCGGGCGCGCAGAACTCCATCGCTGCCGGGTCCGGGGCCAGTCGGATGAACGTGTTCTCCTGCTCGCTACACTCACTCGGTGGTTTGTTCTTCCCCCCTCCCACAGTGCGGGTAACATCGACCCCGAGTCGTGGCCGGGCGCGCAGAACTCCATCGCTGCCGGGTCCGGGGCCAGCCGCATGAACGTGTTCTCCTGCTCGCTGCAGACCCGAGACGACCGGACCGCCGGCGTCTTCACGGTCAAGATGGCGGACGCTGGTGAGTAGAAACGGGATCTAGGCTTCGATTCGTACAGTTCACCTAATGTGACTAAAACGTACATGTGTCAGTGTTAGAAATTCGGTTACCTTGGAGATGACCGACAGAAGAGCGGGAGTCATCAGGTCCGGTCATCTGGTGTCAGGTTACATTATGTAGCAAGTGGCAGGGCAGAGTTGGAGGGGCTGGTCACCGTCTATATTTTCTTTCCTCCTCCTCTCCAGCCCAGATCCGTCCGAAGCTGCTGACCCAGACCGTCAGTGTCCAGGACGCGGTTACCTTGGAGATGACTGACAGCAGCGGGGGGTCAGGCCCGGTCATCTGGCGGAAGGACGGGTCCATTATCTCGGGGGAGTCGGAGCTTACGCTGACCATCGACAGCGTGGGGACCCAGGCCACCGGCGTGTTCGAGTGTTACCGCACGGAGGAACAGAGGCAGGCGGCCGAGCAGGCTATCATGCGGCTCATCGTTAGAAGTAAGTCGACTAGCTGGCTCCATGGTACACGTAGCCTCCACCAGGCCTTCCTAAGGGGTTATAGACAGTAGATTTGGTCTCAAATAAGGTACATAGTTCGCCAGGAGAACGCCACATCAGGATAAGAGTTAACACTGCAGGCAAGATTTGCATTGCAAGATTTGCCCCAGATTTGTATTGGATATAACGCTACGCAGCAGGGAAAAGGTTAAAACGTCTGCACTCCCTTCCACACAGCTCAGGCCTGCTTTCACACAATGAAGAAACGTGTGCAGGGAAAGGGTTAAAAAGTCTATCACATACATGTAAACTGTTATCCACCTAACTTGTTTCCCTCCCAGGTTGTCCCGACGGAAAGTGGGGCCGCGGGTGTGACCAGGACTGTCCTGACTGTGAGAACGGCGGAGTCTGTAACCCGGCTGTAAAAGTCTATCACACAAACCTAACTTGTTTCCCTCCCAGGTTGTCCCGACGGAAAGTGGGGCCGGGGCTGTGACCAGGACTGTCCGGACTGTGAGAACGGGGGAGTCTGTAACCCGAGTGACGGCAGGTGCATGTGTGCGCCAGGGTTCATGGGGGATACATGTGACGAAGGTAAGGATTTATCCCTTCTCTCACCCTGGAGCGCAGGGATTGTACCCAGAACCGTGTTTTATCCAGTGCCATGCTAGGACACGGTTCTGGATAGTCTACACGTGCCTTGGATATGCGTAGACTATTCAGAACAGAACTAATCCTTACCCTACACCCGGAATACTTTGAAAAGCGTAGCCTCTATCAGACTTGGGGAGACGGCTGGAAAGAGTAGTAATCGGCCAAATAGAGAGATAAGCATGCCAAGGGAGTTTGTCCGTTGAGAGAACATTTCGCCACAGAATGTAATAATACTCTTCCTAAGAAAACACCATAGATTAGCTTTAGTATCATTATGGACTAGCTCGTTAGAATTATATTTTAGTATATCTATTAGTTTGTGTATGTATCATTGTTGTTTCTTTGCCATACATTGTACCAGCTACGGTTGTTGAGCAATAAAGTTTATTTGATTTGAT